TGATCATGGATATGAGGGGACAACTTCCATGCTAACCTTGGCATGTCTCAGGCCAGGAGAGAGATGTTATAGGACAGTATTGTGCATAAAAGGAAGAAATAGCTGAGCCACCCAGGGATGAACTTGCTCAGGTAATGTTAATTAGATATGAAGATTGGAAAAGGGTAAAGGGTTTGCTTTGGAGACCCATCACACCACTTAGTCACCATGGGAAGAAAAGAGCAGTCACAACTGGTAGGGAAGGAACACCTCAGACCTTGGGAGATCAGAGATGAGGAGCCATTAACTTCTTCACACTAAATGTTTCTGGAAGGGTGCACAGCAGCGAATGAAGATGGAAAGATATTTTCACTCTTTTGTACCTGTTGAATTCTGAACCAGGTGATTATTTTCTGTATTTTTACAAACAATGAAAAATTTAAGATTATACCTAAACCTAAGACTAGAATTTAGAGATTAACATTCTTAGCCTTAAAGCTAAATATCCTTTCTGAGGATCTAGAATCTAAAAAGATACTACTGTAAAAATGAAGTTTAAAAGTGATACACACATAAAATAGTATGTTTCTAATATGAAAACATCTTTAAGAATGTACATAAACAGGAATAGCGCAAGCTGATAAAATTTTTATTTTTATTTAATGTAACTGATGAAGTTAACAGACAATTATATTTTAATGTAACAAAATATTATAATTGATAAGTTTATCATCTACATTTTAAAGGATATTTTAGTATAGCCAAAGATTTAACATTTGTATTTTTCCTCATTTTTGAAATTGAAATGTAAAATACACTTATCATATCCATACACCTTAAAATTTTAAAGTTTTGACTAAAACATCTGAATCTCTACAAGTAAAAACAAGTTCTCCTATATCTAGGACAAATAAAATATACTACTAATAAAGTGCCAATGGATTAGACAATCTTGTTTCAACTACCTTTTGGGGGAGGAGGATAAAAGCATGTAACAGTATAGAACTAGTCATTTTTATCATACCAGTACAGAACTACTAATATGCATTACACTTTGTAATAAGCAAGACTGTTTATTTATAGTAGATCTAACCATAATAAAGAATTTCTCTCAAGAAAGATCACAGCTATGACTTATTTGTTCAGTCACTACTGAATATAGTTTAGTGTTCAGAGTTTTTTAAAAGTGCAATCTTAAACTGAGACAAACCTAATTCTACCAATATCAAGAAATGGTTTTAAGGACTTCATATAAATAAATCTTTTTATTGTAAAACAGGTTGCTACCTGTTATAAGGAGAGGAGAATAGTACTGAACGAATAGCAAAGTTTGGCAATAAGGATGTTTCTAATGGATGAGAGCTTGGTATGCATTGCTAATACATGCATTTTTCACATTAAAAAAAAAACATGTTTATTAGACGTATACAGCACTTTTCAGGCACTTGACCTCACTTGGTAGTTAATTTGGTGTTCAGATGTTTATTTAATGGAAAAACACTGAGTTACACTGTGACTTCAAGCTGTGTTCCCACAGAACATCTGTGTTCCTCAAGCTAACTCCAAATGTTCCTGCTAAAATCTAATAATGATGCCATATACCCAATTTAGAGAAAAAAGTTTAATAGATTAAGCTTAATAGATTGAATTTCATCAATTTTAGGATTTCCGCCATGAATTTTTCTTAAGTCTTTGTTGCCTATTACTTTTCTGAATACTAGCAGGAAAAAAGCCTTGAAAGCTCTGAAATATTGGTTAAGTGACATTGGAAAATTTAAAACTTTATCAGTACAATACACTGTTTATGGAAATATGCTTATATTTTTGCTCTTATACTACCTAAGAACCATATTTCCACATACTAAATGTGTTCCTAGCTTATATAATAGAGTTCAGTATGTAAACATTTTAAGGTACCCAAAGAGCATTACGAATTTTTAGTCTTTGTTCCTAAATACGTTTGAAAATCTACAATGTCTGCTCTGAAACTATCTTTGGAGTCCATGCCAAAGGAATGCTATCAAATATATCACTAAAGACAGGATTCTGAGGTAAGACCACTGAATTCTATACTAAAATGAAAAATATGGCAAAATTCCAGTATAGTTGCTACTAAGGTTTGCATTTTTTCTTAAATACTCAGCATATAGTTTAAATATGTTGATATTAAGAATTTTATATGTATGCATTACAGTATTACAATTTGGTTTATACTTTATACTTTTAGGCAGTTAGCTTTAAAATAATGAAACTTCAACTCTTAACATGAACAGCCCTGAGAATAATGCATTCAAATTATAGCTCAACTAGAAATAATCTAATCAAAAAACCTTAAGCTACAAAGACAAATTCTAGAAAGGTTTTAAATTAAAAAAAAAAATTACCAACATTTGAGGCACTACCAGACTACAGTACTTTTAATAATTGAAAGGACTTTGGAAAAAGAATAAATGTACAAAGCTATGTGTGCACATACATACACTCACATCGTGCTGTAATGAAAAACTGTGTCCCCAAACTTTACAGTCTAAACATTTTATTGCAGCATCTCCTGTTAAAGGTATATGGTCTGGCTGCAGAAATTTTGCTAATTTATATAAAATATTGGCACAGAAATTTGAACCAATAAGGGAAACAGAGTCAAGAGCTCAGTTAACAATAATTTCTTCAAATGACTGACAGTCCTTGGAGGGAAGCATGAAAGAAATATCATAATTCGGTCCATGATGTAAATACTAAGTCAAAGCAGCAATGATTTGGTTTATGTGAGAGGATATACAACTTTGTAGCAGATAAGCATAACAATCTTCACAGTAGAAATATAAATGTTCTAGAAAGAAACAAATATTTAACCTGCTAATACTGTCTAAAAATTGGTGAAATGTGTACAGACAAAAATGGTGTGTTACTGTATAACCTATTACCACAGCAGTCCACATTTTATATATAATAACTTGTGATATTTAACATTTGCTACAAAAAAGTACAATAGTACTAGGAGTCAACTTTTAACATTTCTCTGATGTCAAAAAAGAACAATGTCACTTCTATGTTAAAAAATATATGTTCCCTGCTTCCTTGTAATACATTTTATAAAGCTTTACTAAATGAAATATTTTGTTCTACAGAAACATCTATTGATTTATGTGAAAATAAACAATCCTGTATCTTTAAAATCTATACATATGTTGGAATATTTACACTTCATACAGTCTTTAAAATGGAATATTCACGCATAAATAGTTTTTGCCATTCAAGGTATGGAGATAGAGATGCATTATTATAATTTGTACACCCTTCTATCACAATTAAAATATATTTATGCCAAGTTTGACAAGTTATGAAGAATGAGGGCATGCTAATCTAGAATTAATTCTAAATCAGAACACTAATATGGTTCTAACTGGGGTCAGATGAATGACCAGCAAGCAGCATAGATAAGTAACATTATGGACTTTCTCTGGGTAACTATCATCCAGCAGCAAGTAAGATAAACATCAGAGATTAGAGTACTAAAAAAGTAGAACAGGGTAGTAGATACTGGAATGCTGGGAAAAATTCAGCCCAATTATTAATTGTGCTTTGGATGGGCAAAAGCTAAAATGTCATACTAAAAGCAACTAACTACAATCTCAGTATTTCTTGTGCTTTAGAATTCTCTTTCTCACACTTCTCTTAAAATACTTTGGATCTTCAAATGGGTTTGCCTAGGCCAAGATAAGACTTAAAAATGTGTACACATTAAGCAACTAAAACTTTGGAATCTTATAGCCCAAGTGGAATTTCTAGTCACTGATTAGATAAGTATCAGATATACTTTCCTCTAGATGATAAGAACAAATGTCTCTCTGGCTAAAGCATTGTGGGAGAGATCACATAACCAGTTTTAGAGAACAAGGCATAATGAGATATAGGGATTTTGTTTCAAGTTTCACTCCAATATAATGATTGCTATTGAGTCAAATCTTGTAACAGTATCTAAAATTCTGAAAATAATATAATACAGACTAAAAGAATAAATAGAAAGGCAATAGTGTCACCTAAAATACTTTTTAAATAATTCAGTTTATAGAATTCTTTTGTAGTTATATAGTTCACATCAGGAACTGAATTAAGTCACAAGACAATCAGAAAAATTTTATGTACTTAATTTTCAAATAAGTAATATTTGTTCCATGATTCACTTTCAATTCACTTTAGACAAAACTGTGCACAAATTTAACTAACTAAAGTCAAGAATTCCAAATCAAGTTAAGAATTCCAGCCAGGTGTGATTGTGTACACCTCTAATCCCAGCACTGGAGAGGATGAGGCAGCAGGATCATTGCAAGTTTGAGACCAGCCTGGGCTACAAAGTGAGCTCAAGGCCAGCCTGAACTGCATAGCGAGACCCTGTCTCAAAAATACAAAAGAAAAACAAAAACAAAAAAGAATTCCCAGTTTTAGTGTAACAAATATTTAACATAAAAAATTCTACATAAAATAGTTGGAAAGGAGCAGTTACTGATAAATATCAACATACACCAAACATGATTGGAAAAAGAATACTGCACAGTATCCTGTTAAGCAGGTGATCCTTTCAGTGTTGGGGTTGGAGGCTGGGAGATGAAAATGACTAAAAAGTCACTTCCTGTATTTTTGCCGATCATAAAGATATCAAATAAAAAAACACAATTTTAGTAACTTCCTTTGTGTATTCTTTACAGTCTGACTTGTTAATGTTCACCAAACAGTTCAGTGTCCCTCTGTCAACTATAAGCTGATACTAAAACCACTCTTAAGGTTATACTGAGTTGGGTAACACTTTGCAAAGAATGGTATTAGTGAGTATATGTAGTGGCACATGGCCATCAAAGTAAATGACAATCGGATAACATGATTTTTGTTTAAAGATTTGTGTTTGCCACACATAGGCTAAAACTGACAATTCCAATCTACATATTCTATGATATTAAATTTAAAATTAATGCAGAACAATTCAATTTAAATGTGGTACTTCAATACCACTGGATGCTACATTGTATGATTTAAAACCCTGGTTTATTAATTTAATTAAAATTCAGGAATGATTTCCTCAGACAAATCATATCTGCTGAGGCTGTCTTGTCTGTTTCTTGGACTTACATATTGAAAACCACAGGAATGTTAAAGGAAAGACACCTATAAAATTGAAAAAACAAGAATTATACAGCTTGATTTTTTAAAAAGTTACCAACTGCCTGCAAAATCAACCCAGCACAATTAAAAACAGAGAGAGAGAGAGAAAGAGAGAGAGAGAGAGAGAGAGAGAGAGAGAGAGAGAGAAAACGAGGCTTATGGAGGCCATAGCTTTGGTGACAATTAGAACCAAACTTTGTATCTGCAGTTGATCCAGACCTAACCAGTTTGTTCATATCTCATGTTCTCATTTATTTGCAGGGCTTTATGGCTACAGCATATTCTTCACTCATGGCACACATGACAGATACCTAGAAGAAAACATGCAGCCAAAAAGTTACTCAGAAGGCGATCACATAGAAGATATACTTAGTTCACCATATATGATTGTATATTTGTGAATATTTTATATAGATTGATTTTGAAAAGGAGTAATCCAAAGCAAATAATCTACTTTTTTATATAGTTTTCTGAAACAGAATTTCTCAAATTGTGGTTTTACAAGACAACTTTTAAGGAACAGGTAAAAGAACTATAAATATTTCAACACTTACTAGATATTATACTTCTGAAAGTTGCAACAGAGTACATCTCCTTCATTCTTTGATACTCCTTAGCATCCTTTTCTATCCTTAAGAATAGCTTCTATACTACACAGCTCTTCAAAGCAAACATGGAGCTGATAGTGTCCATGCAGCAAAAAATGAACTTCAGTACTTTCTTTGGTAATTGCTTTTGAAGATCATATTCAACATTTCAGCAGTACTTTTAAGAGACATTTCATATGTTGTATTTCATGCAAACTTCTTTAGTCTAAAGTTTCGATAAAATAGTTTAAAAATGTCTTCCCATAGATCTTTACCTGTACATCTTCACCTGCATTATATTTTCCTTCTATTTCTTTGCCTAGTTCACCTTCTGGCAGTTTAAGATCTTCACGGACTTCACCAGTTTCTGTCAGCAGGGAAAGGTAACCATCCTGAATGCATATCAGCTATTAGAAGAAATTATATTATTTTCACTCATTAGACTATACCCATTCCTTTATAATGTTTACATAGTTAAAATGCAACTCACATTGATTTGTGTAAATACACAGTAATACATTAACATTTTATATATTTAAAATGCCAAAATATGAATATATAAAGTACAAACAGAAGTACAGTGTAAGTTGCCTCCTTTCTGTATTATTAAGCAGCTTAGGCTTATTTATAATGTATCCTGAGGCATTTATAATTAATAATCCAAAATAAAAATAATTGCTTTTCAAATGGGGTAAGTATTTTTCAGCAAGCTCTTTTTAATTAACAATATCTTAGAAATCTTTCTAAATCAGAAAATGTAGACCTACCTTAGTCTATCTAACCACTACACAAGTGCATGGATATCCTGTGACTGAAATTATTTTCCCATTAATGGACACACAAATTGTTTTCAATTTTTCACGATTAGAAACAATGTAGTGGGAAAACTCTGGTCTCTAGCTCACTGCTAATAAGATTTTTAAAATCTGAGTAACTACTTTGAAGATAATGATACACAATGAATTAGCTGTTATTATTTTGTTATGAAAGTTGTTTTATTTTTTATAATAATTTTTTTAAAAAAACAAACACTACTTTACTGATGACATCAATATAAACAAACCTGGTCATCAGCTTAATGCGCAAAAAGTACAGGTTTGTTATAATTAAATTTTTCTTGTAGGCCTAGGAAATAGTGAGCCCATTCCTTTATTTTAAAAGCATACATGTCATTACTGCATCTCAAATTCCAACAGACTTAAAGGACAATCACCCAGAATACCAGACACAAACATGTACAATAGGAGTCAAAGACATAGAAATGATTACTTTGGCATTTAATGGAATTTTTATAAGCTTTATTGATAGAAAAGTTGGAAAAATAATGCAATGAAATCCCATATTCTTTACCAAGATTCACTTATTGTTAACATTTAATCGCATAAATATTTCCTCTATATATGCAATGTAAAAATAAACTATCATATACATTCTCATTTTTACTGAATCATTTGAGAGTTTCTTAGATCACGACTTTTCAGCAATACTTGAAGGTTTTCCCTAAGAACAAAAACATACTCTTATAAATCCAGTTTATTTTTTAAAATTGGGAAATTTAATACTTATAGCCTATTATCCAATATACAGTCCATATTCAAATTTGCCAATTGTTCAATATTGTTTTTGATAGCAATTTATCTCTCTAAATCCAGGGTCACACTTTGTGTTTATCTGGCTGCCAATACTGATTTAGTTTCTGAATTTGGAACAGCTTCTTTACCCTTTATCATCCATGACATTGATATTTTTGCTAAGTATAGATTTACTGTTATAGAATTTTCCACAGTTTGGGTTTGTCTCATTGTTTTCTCATGATTTAGGTTAATATATTTTTGGAGGGAATGATAGGTTCTGAAAAGTGTCATGTCAGGTGGCAAATGATGGCGATTTGCTTTCATTACTCATGATGTTAACTTTGATCACTTGGTTAAGATGGTAAATGTCATATTTTCCTATTCTATGGGTATCCTTTTCCCCTTTGTCATTTGCAGTCCTTAAATAAAAAAGCCTGTGGTGTCACTGGTAACCCTCAAGCATACTGTACCTTTGTGCAATTTTTCATCTTTTCTTAAAGCACTGTCTGATACTAGAGCTGGAAAGTGGCGATGGGAAAGAGTGTTATAAGCCAATTCTACACATTTTCTTCTGATCCTTCACTTTTAAACAAATCATTTGATAAATGTTAGGTATCTTTGAACAAATTTATTTTGGTAGGGACAGTAATCATTTTGATAATAGCAAGGAGGAAGAAGGCAGAGGTCAAGGTCAGGAAACTTGTAATAGAGGCATTAGGTATGTGGTGGTCTATGGAGCTCTGCAGTAGTATGAGATTTTACTAGTACTAGAATGTGGTGTCTTTTTTATTCCTAGGAGAATATAGGCTTCCTTGGAAGAATAGGTGGTTCAATGTCCAGAGTGGGAGGTGTATAACATGAACTCAGAGCAAGCTGTTATACTAGAAAGGAAGAAGCTATCAAAGACCATTTATTAGCCACATATCAAAGGGACCTAGAATTTAAATAATCTCTAACTGGCCAAAGAATCAGTAAAGATAATAACAACAGATTAAAACATAAATATGTTTTTGTTTTCCTTTTAGAGGCCCAAAATGCCGTTTAATTTACAAACACAAAGTTGTCCTCAGCATGGCTGAGTTCCAAGCAAGTTTACTTAAGACTATTAAAACAAATTTCATATAAATTTCCTGCATCACAAACTATTCTTTTTTTCCCTAAATATTTAAAAATGTAAAATCCATTCTTAGCTTGTAGGCTTTATAAAAAAAAAAAAAAAAAACAGTGAAGGAATGAAAAATCATTACTTATCACTACTTTAACTCCCTTAACAAATGGATTAAGGGAAAGATAACATACATGATATTATAAAAAAGGGAACAGATTTACCTGGTGGTCTTCGAGAACATCACCTATGGAACAGTTTCATTAAAAAAAAATAAGAGAGGGCTGGGAAGATGGCTGAGCAGCACAGCACCTGCCTGGCAAGTGTAACATCCTGAGTTCGATTCCCAGTACCAAAAAAAAAAAAAAAAAAAAAAAAGAGGAAGAAAAAAACCCAAAACCAAATCTGACCAAGCCTCCTCATCTTACTATCAAGTTTCAAGAAATAAAGACAACAAAAACTCATGTCAAACAAGGAAACGCAATCAGCAAAATCCAGTCAATGAGAAAATTGACAGAACAAATGATCCAGTTCTTCATCAAAAAATTGCAGATAAACACACAATCCAAGCATATGTGTGAGAAACAAACAAATATATTTAAGAGATATATCAATCAATTTCCTTGTGTGGATCTTACACAGGCCCTGACTTAGATAAACTATAAAACAAAAATAATAACCATAACATTCAATGAAGCAAAACAAAACTAAGAAAGTGTAGATACCAATGGGATATTTAGGAATTAATAACTTTTTAGGTGTGATTTTTTTGTAGTTCTTAGCTTTTAGAGATGTATAATAAAATATTTGAAGGTAAAATAATATCTAGGATTAGCTTCAAAATAAACCAGAGGCAGTGTATCCAAAACTAAGTGATGTGTCCATGGCATTCTGGTACTTCGTGACTTCTTACAATAAAAAGTGAAATGGAAAAACATTTTGGTATATGTAAATCTAGACAGAGCACTCTGATCATTAAATTCTGAGATACACAGTGAGCTAAGAAAGCAAAGGATGAACTAAAACGAAGGGTATGGCAGAGTTAGTGACTCTAAACTCTGTCCATGATACAGCCTGAAGAGGAAGAAGAAGAAGAAACTCAGCACTCAATAGGGAGAATTACAAGAAAACTTTTTTTCTGTGCCTACATTTGCATTATTGGTGTACAAAATTTGCACACCAATTTGTACACCAATAATGCAAATGTAGGCACAGAAAAAAAGTTTGTACTGTAGCTTATCACTACAGTACTTTCTTAGTCCTAATTTCTGAATTTTGTTTCTCAATCTATTTTTAAAAGAATCAGACTTGTTTAGGTAGGTAAGACTTTTCTTTCTACTTCTTCCTCCCCCTCCCACCCCAACACTCAACATTCTTAAGCTACCATGTTCCTTGAGTTACTGGCTCCTGGTAGACGGACTGGTACAGATTGGTAGAGACTGTTGTGTGTGTGTGTGTGTGTGTGTGTGTGTGTGTGTGTGTGTGTGTGTGTGTGTGCTGGGATTGAACCCAGAGCCTCATAGATACAAGGCAAGTGCTGTACCACTGAGCTACATCCCTTTCCTGAGACTGAACTCTTAGTCATATTATTACACCATCTAAGCAAATAACACCATCGTCAACTGGGGTGTTATGTGACCCATCAAATCATGAAGTTGGGTACGCAAGAAGCACTCCATCATCAAGTGAAAGTAGCATATATGAGTTCATCTTGAGCAAATCCTAAAGGTATAAAAAAGTTGTATTAAGTGGTTCAGACTCACAGTGGCTGTGACTCAAGAGTCCCTTCTCTTCCTACATTGACACTTTCCCCCCACTGAGCGCATACCAATGGGTGAGATGACGAATATCCTTATTACCAAGTGATTATGAAGAAAAAATTCACAATACCTTTAGGTGGTTATGCATTATATGATGCCCCACTCAGAGGTGGCCCTGAATAATAGCAGGAAATGGGGAGAATTTTATGAACTAGCCTGAAAGAATAGAAAGCTTTCAATGATTTTAGATAAAAGAGTTTGGCTGGAAGGTCAAGGACACTAAAGTTTAATCCTGACTGTCGACTTCACTGGCTTGAGAAACCCTAAGAAACCAGTAAAACACACTTCTGGGATGCTTATGTGGATATTTCCAGAGATGACTGGCATGTGGGACCGTGCACTGAGGGGAGAGATATGAATGTGGGTGGCACCAGCCAATAGGCTAGGGAGAGAACAAAAGTGAAGAAGGAAACCTGCCCGCACAGGCTTTCTCACTCTCTCTCTGCTTCCCAGTGGCCACGAGGGGAGCAGTTCTCTCTATCACACCCTTCCACCATCGTGTTCTGCCTATCACAGATCTAAAGCAAAGGAGTCAGCCAGCAATGGACTGAAACCTCTGAAACTATGAGCCAAAATAAACTCTCCCTCCTGTAAGTTGATTTTCTCAGATATTTATCACAGCTGTAGAAAACTGACTAACACAAACGCTGTAAGAACAAGATATGAAAAAGGCTGCCAAATAAAATCTGGAGAAGTGGTAGACCTCTCTGAATATGTAATTGGAGAATGTGTGCATATGAATGCTCATCGAAGACAATGCTCAGGTAGAAATTATAATTCTCTTTGATATCCAGCTTGGCTTTTGTTGGAGGTTTTTTGTTTGTTTATTCTGCTTTTATGTTGTTGGTTTCCTTTTGTTTTGTTTTTTTTTTGAGACAAGGCCTTGCTGTGCAGTTCAGGCTGGCCTTGAGCTCACTTTGTAGCCCAGGCTGGTCTCAAATTCACCATGATCCTCCTGCCTCAGCCTCCCGAGTGCTAGGATTACAGGCGTGCACCACCACGCCCAGCCTTGTTTTGCCTTTTTGAGACAAGGTCTCACAATGTATTCCAGGTGTGCCTTGAACTCACTATGTACTCTAGGTTGGCTCGAACTCATGGTTATCCTCCTGCTTCAGCTCTAGAGGGTTGGGATTACCAGCCCAAGTGGCATGGTGCATGTGCCACCATTCAGCTTGTTTTTGTTGATGTCCCAGTTCTTGTCAATGGCTCAGTGACACAAATTTTCTCTCACTCAGGCTGATCTGACTATAGCCACTACTGAGAATCTCACAGGAAACCACTATAGGTTCCTAAAAATGTATTATTTCCCAAAGGAAATAATTAGCTCCCTCATAACACTGTACCCTTTGTAGCACAGAAGAGGCGGTATTTGGATTGACTGGAATGGACTCTGTCTACACACAGTCTGTCCTGTCTGTGGTGCTTCTGCTAAAATTCTGGATTCACACCATGCCTCATTCTTACATGGAAACACTTCTAAAGCACTTGTTTTACAGACAAAATGAGAACATGGGTGACACTCGAGAACTGGCGCTTACCCCCAGGAATCCTGAACAGCTTGCCTGTGTAGAATAACCTACTGAAAACTCGTTTATAGCACCTGCTAGAAGATACTATGTGGGCCCAGAGACTTACTTTATAGGTTACAATATATTTCAGCATATCGTTGTTTTCTCCCATAGGTAGAAAACATAGGTCTAGGAATCAAAGGTGGTGGTTCCTCTCACTAGTACCCTTAATGATCCTGTAGCAAAATACTTGCTTCTTGTCACGGCAACACTGGACTTTACTAGTTTAGAGGTTTTCTATTCCTAAACAAACTGCTTTTACAAGGGAGCACAAGAATTGCACAGACTATGTTAAAATGATAAAAAGTCTTTAAATTCAGGGAAATTCCTAACAGCATTATTTTGTCACTGTTTTCAGTTGTAACAGTATAATTCGACTCATTTATCTTAACACCCAAAAGATTTATCATTCATTTGAACAACAGACTTGGAATTAATAGTTATAATTTTGGCAATTCACCAATAACCCAGAAGTTCACAATATGTACTTGATGTGTCCTATACTATATTGCTTTCCTCCTTAGAAAATGGTCTTCAGATGACAGATCAATGTTGAAGAATGCAGAAAAGGGATTTAACTTGTGGTGGGGTGCATAGCAACAAAGAACTTTGTAAAAAGTATGATCAAGGAGTACAGGAGTCTAAGCAGGCATTTCTATATTTATCAATTTGGACATTCCCAAAGGTATTTGAATGTATTTGAATTTTACACCATTATTGAGCCCTAAACAACAGTAACTACTTTTAGAAGAAGTAATGGAAATGAACAATTCTAATCCAAGCTACTCTTGGAAAGGAAGAGTCAACATTTTTTTCCCATCTAAACTTATGTTAAGAATAATAACATTGAAACTAAGTATTAATATGCTTTTTTCAGAGATTTACTTTTTAATTATTACAATGAACAGATACACTACACATATTTCACTTTAGCTGGCTGCCCAACTGGCACTCAAAATACTGAATTCAGCAAACACTAAGAACTACACATAGCCAAATAACAATGAAAGTGGGAATTTAATAAAGTCTCTTAGACAAATGAGTGAAGACTAGCATAGCACAACAAATATAATGGGAAAGGTTCACAGAACTATTTTTTTTTTTTTTTTTTTTTTTGTCTCAGCAGTAACTTATTGTTGTTGTTGTTTTATGACCATATGGAGCTCCAGCAATCAAAGCACAGATGCTTTGGGGGGGTTAAGATATAATTGCTATAACCATCCAGTTCTTATTTTTGTCTTCTCACAGTAACCATAACCAGTGTTATGCTAATCTTGTAAATATATTTTCACATTTT